ATATCTAACATTAACATAAACTTTTTTAAGAGAACACAATTTAGGATTCACTGAACACATATGCGCTAGGAAGCATACAGAGTGCTCATTTATTTTAATCCTCATAAAATCTTATCTTTTAGATAAGAGTCCAGTTCATGAAAATTAAGTAATGTAGACAAAGTCAGCTACCGGCAAAGGTTGGTTCAAACAGGCTGGTTTAACTCCAAAGTCTTCTATTTTTGCTATGCAGTATTTTCTTAACTCCTCCAATAAGGCATTAATTTCTTTCTCTCTCTTTTTTTAAATTTTTAATGTTTTATTTATTTCTGAGAGAGAGAGAGACAGCATGAGCAGGGGAGGGTAAGAGAGAGAGGGAGACACAGAATCTGAAGCAGGCTCCAGGCTCTGTGCTGTCAGAACAGAGCCTGATGCGGGGCTCAAACCCACGAACTATGAGATCATGACCTGAGCTGAAGTTGGACGCTTAACCGACTAAGCCACCCAGATGCCCCTAATTTCTAAATTATTCCCTCATAATGCTCTCAAATACATCATGCATATCTGAATCTGCATATGTAAAATATCTTAAGAATTGAAAACTACCTAAATGGCTAATAATTGATGATGAGTGGTGAAAAAACTATGGTAACATCTATGTGATGGAACAGTACAATACCAATAGGCCTAGATACTACCAATCTACCAAAACTACTTGCCGATAACTTCTACAGTGCCAAATTCAACGGTCAATTCTCTTATTCAACCTTCTAAGCTATATATTTTTTTAAAAGCTTAACTTTTTTGTTAAATTTCTAAAAATATTTTTGAGGGAGTGTGAGCAAGCGAGGGAAGGACAGAGAGAGAGGGAGACAGGATCCAAAGCGGGCTCTGTGCTGACAGCAGAGAGCCTGATTCAAGGCTCAAACTCACAAACCAGGAGATCGTGACCTGAGCCAAAATCAAGAGTCAGGTGCTTAACTGACTGAGTCACCCAGGTGCTCCTAAGCTGTATCTGATATACCTGATCACTCCTTCCTCTCCAAAGTACTTTTTTTTTCCACTTGGCTTCCCTGATACCATATTCTTCTGGTTCTTATTTTTCAGTTCCTATTTCAGTCTTACTTCTCCTTTTCTAAACTTTCTAAAATACATGTCCTGGTTTATCCTATCTTGTTACCCTATCCTTTTCCGTGTTCTTTGCAGGTTCCTCCAGCCAGAATTCAACCTGCAAATGATGTCCCATTTGCTTCAACATTTCCCTTGAACTTTAGGCCTGAAATTCAGCTGCCACTCTCCATCTCCTGGGTGTCTAACAGGCCGCATATTTAACATACCACAACCTGGGCCCTGAATGGCTCAGTCGGTTAAGCGTCCGACTTCGGCTCAGGTCATGATCACACGGATTATGGGTCTGAGCCCCGTGTTGGGCTCTGTGCTGACAGCTCAGAGCCTGGAGCCTGCTTCAGATTCTGTGTCTCCCTCTCTCTCTGATCCTCCCCTGCTCATGCTGTCTCTCTCTCTCAAAAATAAATAAAACATTAAAAAAAATAAAATCAGGAGTACCTAGGTAGCTCAGTCAGTTGAGCATCCCATGATCTCACGGCTCATGGGTTCAAGCCCCATATCAGGCTTGCTGCTGTCAGTGCAGAGCCTGCTTCAGATCCTCTGCCCACCTCTCCCTGGCCCTCCCTTGCTCATGTTCTCTCTCAAAAGGAAATAAAAAATTTGAAAAAAAAAAGAAAAAATGCTAAATGAAATAAGTCAAATACAAACAAGTCATACATTGTATGGTTCCACTTACATGAAATGTCCAGAACAAACAAACAAACTCAGAGACAGAAAGTAGACTGGTGGTTGGTTGTCTGGGGTTTTGGGAAATAGGATGTAACTATTAAAGGATACAGGGTATCTTTTTGGGATGATGAAAATCTGAATTAAGACAGTGGTGATGTCTTATATACACAACCTTGTGAATATACTAAAAACCATTAAATTGTACACTTTATTTTCTTCTAAATTAAAAACTTTATTTTTTGGGAGACAGAGAGAGAAACAGAGAGAGAGAGCGAGCGAGCAAGCGGCATAGGGGCAGAGAGATTGGGAGACACAGAATCCAAAGCAGGCTCCCTAATCCACGAACCTTGAGATCATGATCTGAGCCAAAGTCGAACACTTAACCAACTGAGCCACCCAGGCGAACCCTGAATTGTACGCTTATTTTAAAAGGATGAAATTTTGGGGCGCCTGGGTGGCTTAGTCGGTTAAGCGTCCAACTTTCGCTTAGGTCATGATCTCGCGGTTCGTGAGTTCGAGCCCCGTGTCGGGCTCTGTGCTGACTGCCAGCTCAGAGCCTGGAGCCTGTTTCGGTCTGTGACTCCCTCTCTCTCTGACCGTCCCCTGCTCACACTGTCTCTCTCTCTCTCTCCTAGAAATAAATAAAACATTAAAAAAAAATTTTTAAAAAAAGGATGAAATTTTAAGGCATATGAATTATACCTCAAAAACAAACTACTTTGTGATACAACTGTTCTATTGCATTGACAAAAATCCAGAAGTTGGGGAGGCAGCGGAGAGACAGATCTCATACGCTGCTGATGGGGCACAGGGGGCGGGGACAGCTCTGATGGCAAGCTGGTACTACCTAACAAAATTACAAGTCCATCTATCCTTTGACCGGCCATCTCACTGTTGGGAATAATCACCTTATAGCACTGTTTCTATAAAGAACTCAAATGTCCACTCCCTAGGAAATGGTTAAATGCACTATGGTCAATCCATTCAGCAGAATACCACGTGGCCATAAAAAATAATGAGGAATGCTCTCCTTGTATACAGAAAGACACCCAAGACATTTAATTACTGAGAATAGCAAGGTATATAAGTGTATACATTGGTATGCTGTTTGTGTAAGGAACGAAGAAAACCAATCTGTGTTTCTGCTTTTATTTCTACTAAAAAAACACAAGGGGGGCACCTGCCTGACTCAGTTGGAAGAGCATGTGATGCTTGATATCGGGGTCATGAGTTTGAGCCCCATATTGGGTGCAGAGAGTACTTAAATAAATACGTGAATAAACAAACTTTAAAAAAACACAAGAAAACTTAAAAGAAAAACTAATAAAAGTGGGAGAGGGGACTAAAGAAGATAGGGCAGTATCAACACTTTTGATTATGTATCTTTTTATACTGTCTTGTTTTTTGAACCAAATGAATAGACTGCCTTTTAAAATAAAATACCCCTAGGGGGCGCCTGGGTGGCTCAGTCGGTTGAGCATCCAACTTCAGCTCAGGTCATGATCTTGCGGCTGGCAGGTTTGAGCCCTGCGTCTGGCTCTGTGCTGACAGCTCAGAGCCTGGAACCTGCTTCAGCTTCCATGTCTCCTCCTCGTCTCTGTTCCTCCCCCACTTGCACTCTGTCTCTCTCTCAAAAATAGACATTACAAAAAACATTTAAAAGAAAATACACCCAAAGGCATTCCATGCCCTATAGAATAGTCTGCTTGACTTGGGGTGAAAAAATCCTTCTGTAAACTTTTTAACATTAAAACATTTTTTCCACAAAAACTCAATTGTTTTATAAAGTGTTCATCTTAATTTACTTCAAATTTTAAAAATCATTATTTATATTTTACATTAATTCACACTACGCGTTTTCATACATACATTTGTTGTTTCCTTTATTAAACCCATTTTCCCTGGACACCCTCACATTTGCTCCTGCTCCCTTCATTTATGCTTCTCTTCTGAGGTCACCTCCTGTGGTGACTCTTCTCCGACCACCTACCTATAACCACATCCCTCCATCACCCTCTATCCCCTCACCCTGCCTTTTGCCTTTGGAACTTATTTACGCTACCTATCTTTTCTTTGTTACAGGACTTTGTTCTTATATCCCTGGCTCTTAGAACAAGCAGCACCGGAATGACTGGAATAAATTTAAGTCTCTGCTCATTGATTTTCCTCCACTTTATTTTTCTTTAAGATTTTATTGTGGGGGGCACCTGGGTGTTTTAGTTTGTTGAGTGACCGACTCTGGATTTTGGTTCAGATCATGATCTCATGGTTCGTGGGATCGAGTCCCGTGGTGGGCTCTGTGTGCACAGTGAGGAGCCTGCTTGGAATTCTCCTTCTCCCTCTCTCTCTCCGGCCCCCCACCCCATCACTTGCCCACACTCTCTTTCCCTCTCTTTCAAAATAAATAAACATTAGAAAACAAGTAAAACACTAAAGAAACACTTAATTTTGAAAGTCATTTCTACACCCAACGTGAGGCTCAAACTCACAACCCTGAGATCAAGAGTCGCGTGCTCTACCCACTGAGCCAGCCAGGCACCTCTCTTCCCCCTTATTTTTTTAAATGTTTATTTACTTTGAAGAGAGGGCACTAGCAGGAGAGAGGCAGAGAGACAGGGAGACAGAGGATCTGAAGGGGGCTCCACCCTAACAGCAGGAAGCCCAATGTGGGGCTTGAACCCCCGAACTATGAGATCATGATCTGAGCCACCCAGGTGCCCCTTATTTTATTTTTTTCAAATAGGCTTCATGCCTAGTGTGAAACTTGAACTCACAACCCTGAGATCAAGACAGACCTGGGTTGAGATCAAGAGTCAGATGGTTAAAGGACTGAGCTTTCCAGGCACCCCAACCTTCCTCCACTTTAAATTTTAAATTGCCATGGGGTGCCTGGGGCTCAGTCGGTTACACATCCAAATCTTGATTTTGGCTCAGGTCATGATCTCACAATTCATGAGTTCAAGCCCTGCATTGGGCTCTGCCCTGCCAGTGCGGAGCCTGCTTGGGATTCTCTCTCCCCCTCAAAATAAACTTGAAAAAAAAAATTTTTTTTTTTATTTTAAAAATGAATAAATTTTGAACTGATTTTCCACAATTTCCTACCCGGAAAATTTTTCGTCCTTTAAGATTTAGCTCAAAGGCCACTTTAAGTTTCCCTGATCTCCTCAATTAATCCCCTCCGCAGAAAGCCCATAGTTCTTCATTCCCTCAATATCAGGACTTACTCTATTAAATCGAGGTTAGTGATACTGGTTTCTTCTGCTGGAATGAGCTCCTTGAAAGTCCAGGTTTCTTCAATTTTTCTGACCACTTAGCTCCTAGCATCCTGCCCCGGACATAAAAAGCACTCAATGAATGTGTGCTATATTAAATAGGAGACCTGAATATGTACAAAGTAGAAAATATAAAACATGTTCATTAATACAATCATATTTCAGGACAGAATACAATTAATCATATAAAAATACAAAATGTGAAAACATTTACAGAAAGGAAAGAGATTAATTCCTATGGATTAAAAAGCATAAACTGTCGGTAGGTTAGGCTCAGGTCATGATCTCCCTGCTCACAGGTCCGAGCCTCCCGTCGGGCTCTGTGCTGTGCTGACAGCTCAGAGCCTGGAGCCTGCTTCATTCTGTGTCTCCCTCTCTCTGTCCTTCCTGTGCTCACACTCTGTCTCTCTCAAAAATAAATAGAAATATTTTTTAAAATTTAGAAAAAAAGTATAAGCTGTCAATTATACCTCAGTAAAGCTGGGAGGGGGGCGGGAAACAAAAGAGACTCTTAAATACAGAGAGGAAACTGAGAGTTGCTGGAGGGGCTGTGGGTGGGGACATGGGCTAAATGGGCAAAGGGCATTAAGGAAGACACTTGGGAAGAGCACTGGGTATTATATGTAGGGAATGAATCACTGGGTTCTACTTCTGAAATCATTACTGCACTTCACGCTAACTTGGATGTAAATTTTTAAAAATAAAATATAAAAAAAATTTAAATAAATAAAGCTGGAAGGGAAAAAAAGTTGACTGCAGGAGACATACGGGTCTCTGAAGAATGGGTGTGGTTTCTGCAGGCTGAGCTGGGGTGGGAAGTAAAGGCAAGGCAGATGAAGAAAATGATGTGAGTGAAAAGTTGCACCAGAAGCCTCTTAGACTAGGGGCGCCCGGGTGCCACAGTTGGCTCCGGATTTTGGCTTGGGTCATGATCTCAGTTTTGTGAGTTCAAATCCCACATCAGGCTCTGTGCTGACCATGTGGAGACTACCTATAAATCTCCTCCTCTCTCTGCCCCTACCCCACTCGTGCTCACTCTCAAAATAAAATATATAATAAACAAAAAAAAAATTTAAAAAAAGAAGAAGCCTCTTAGACAAGAATATGATGGAGGATGTTTGGGAAGTAGCTGTAGAACTGAACAGGGAAGTCAAAGACCAGTGTGCAGAGAGGCTTAGCACACCATGGAACCTGAAATTAAAGCAGATAAGCAGAGATGAGCAAAGGAACCTCACGTGTGGTCCACAAATCACCTTCATCAGAATTACCTGGAGTGCTTGTTGAAAATGCTCATTCCCACATCCTACTAACGCCAACTCCTACTCCCAGACCTACTGAATCAGGATCTAACCAAGCTTCTACAGTTGAACATGTAGGCTGGTTATAGTGGTGTGCTGTAATACTCAGCTTGGTACACACACCCAGTTCTAAAAGAATTGCTTGTGAACAGCCGTACATTGTGCAAGATATGTCTGCGTGTGTTTACAAGAAAAGGTCAACTTTGCCCTCTAGCTCTCCAAAAATCCTAAAGCTTTTGATTTGTATTACCCTTCCAAAAAGCTGGTATCTATTTCTTTACAATTCTGCTATCAGAGTATGAGGATCTGGTCCCCTCCTTTCCTCATCAATGACTTCAATGTCTTTTTTTTTTTAAGAAGCAAAGTTTGGGCTAATAGGAGTTTAAATCACAAGTTTTAAGCTATCACAATCACTAAGGAAATTCAAACAAAAACCATCAGATACCATATCACATCCATCAAGGTGGCTATTATCAAAAAAGAACAGAAAAAAAAAAGTGGCGACATCCATGGAGAAATTGTTCCTTCCTTGTTGAGCAAGGGTGGGAATCTAAAATGGTATGGTTGCTACAGAAAACAATTGAGTTTTCTCAATTTACAGTTACAATTTCCTCAAAAATATTAAGTATACAATTACCTTATGATCTAGCAATTCTCATGGGTATATACTGAAAGAAACAAAAGCAGAGACACCAAAAGATTCTGTATACTCATGTTCACTGTAGAGTTATTCACAAGAGCCAAAAAAGGTAGAAGCAGCCCAGTGTCCACTGACAGATGAATAAACAAAACATTCCATAATATACAATGGAATATTCTTCAGCCTTGAAAGGAAGGAAATTCTGACACATGGATGAACCTTGACAACATTATGCTAAGTGAAAGAAGTCAGTCACAAAAGGACAAATATTCTAGGATTCTATTTACACGAGGTACCTACAATAGTCAAATTCATAAAAACAGAGAATAAAATAGTGATTGCCAGGGGCTGAGAGGAATGGGAACTAGTATTTAATGGGTTCAGTTTCTGTTGGGAAGATTCAGAAGTTCGGGAGACTGTAATACAACAATGTAAATTTACTTAATGCCACAAAGTGATCCAGTTTATTATTTTTAGTTTTTAAAAATATCTCTAATATTTATTTTGGGGGCGGGGAGAACATGAGCGGGGAGGGGCAGACAGAGGGGGAGACAGAATCTGAAGCAGATTCTGTGCTGATAACAGCGAGCCTAATGTGGGGCTCGAACTCATGACCTGACCTTCATGACCTGAGCTGAAGTCAAACCCTTAATCAACAGCCACCCAGGTGCCCCAAAGCTGTACCCTTTAAAAAACGGTTAAAATTATAAATTTTATATTAAGTATATTTTACTACAGTAAAAAAGGAATAAAAAAAGTTTTAGTCTAAAATTCATTCATGCAATTGGTACTTTTTCATCAAGAAGCTTGCAATCTAGTCGCTTATAGGATATTTACAAACACACTTTAAAATCTATAGTTGTATTCAAGAGATATTTCATGTACAGTTGTACATGCTAAACAAAAGAACTAGAAGTAGCAAACTGCAATCATCTGTTAGAGATTCAACATATTTCATAGGGTAGTGAAGCTACCGGGAAATGCTTTGCTTTTCAGTTTATCTGATTCATTTTTTCCATTGCAAGCTCTTTACTATAATGTTGGCCACAAAAACAGTTAATCCAAAAATACTGTTTTCATATATATCTTTGGAAAGTCTCTCTAGTAGACTCATGTAAAAAAAAAGCTCCCAAGGGCTCCAAATCAACAACTAAAAAACCCAATAACTTGTCCCTTGTCAATTTTTAATCTTACTGAAGTATAATAAACAGGAAATTAAAATTTTTCAAGTAAGTAGTGCTAAATTCTAAATGTTTTGTAAATGCAACAATAAAGTCCAAATGGGTCAGAGCCAAGTTTTAATCTCCTTCTAACTGAAAAACAACCCCAAAAAAACCACCTCAAGCCTATTACGGACCAGATTTTAAAATCTTTATTTCCTTTACAAATTAGAAACAGGGGTGCCTGGGTGGCTCAGTTGGTTAACCGTCCAACTTTGGCTCAGGTCATGATCTCGCAGTTCATGAGTTCGAGCCCTGCAATGAGCTCTGCGTTGACAGCTGGGAGCCTGGAGCCTGCTTCAGATTCTGCATCTTTCTCGCTCTCTGCCCCTCCCCCACTTGTACCCTGTCTCTCAAAACATAAACAAACATTAAAAATTTTTTAAATAAAAAGAAACCCAAACTCACTTTCTCAGAGTTTCTCGAAGCTAAGGATCAGGCCTCGGATCTGTGCTCTGCTGGTGAGATGCACCAAAAGTGATTCCGAGGCGAGTGGGAAGGGTCCCCAGCAGAGTCTGCTCTGGAGAGAGCAGAACGGAGCAAGGGAGAGCTGCCACCTTTCAGGGGCCCCAGCTTCTGGGTTCTGGGCCCAGCCCGCAGTGTGATCGGATGCCAGCATTGGGCTTTCTCCTGGAGACGTGCCCCCAAGGGAGTTAGCTCTCTCAAATCCTTAATAAATTAAAAAAAATTTTTTTTAATTATTTATTGTTGAGGGGCGCCTGGGTGGCTTAGTCGGTTAAGCATCCGACTTTCGCTTAGGTCATGATCTCGCAGTTCGTGGGTTCGAGCCCCGCGTCGGGCTCTGTGCTGACTGCCAGCTCAGAGCCTGGAGCCTGCTTCAGTCTGTGACTCCCTCTCTCTCTGACTCTCCCCTGCTCACGCTGTCTCTCTCTCTCTCTCCTAGAAATAAATAAAAAAACATTAAAAAAAATTTAAAAAAAAAAAATTATTTATTGTTGAGAGAGACAGAATGTGAGTGGGAGAGGGACAGAGAGAGAGACACAAAATCTAAAGCAGGCTCCAGGCTGGTCAGCACAGAGCCTGATGTGGGGCTCGAACCCACAATCCATGAGATCATGACCACTCACACTCTGTTTCTCTCAAAAATAAACATTAAGAAATATTTTTAAAATAAAAACAAAGTCAAGGGTAAACTAAAATTAATATTCTAGAATAGGGATTCCTAACCTTGAATTTTATGAAACCAAGACAGAGCAAGGAGTTCAAGACTGAACTAGGAGGCAAGAGATTCTAACAGGCACTTCAGGAATAAGTATTTCTTTCCTTTTTTTTTTTTTTATTCATTTGTGAAATAAGTGGAGAATATCAGATGATTCATAAGGTCCCATCTATTAACATTTGGTGAAAATCACCTCAGGCAGAATAAAATTCATAAAACAGCCAACAAATAATGTGGCATTCAGAACTCTAGGGAGCAGAAAAGAAGTAACTGCAGTGAAATGAAACAATGATGAGATGTCAAATTTTTCAAAAAGGCATTTTCCAAACAGTCATCCCAGAAAATTTATGGTTGACTCAAACTTAAAAAAAACAAAATGTAGTATTGACTCACCATGATTCTAAAGTATTAACTAACTGGGCATCCCAGATCATGAGCTGTGCTAGTGACTCACCCTCCTGAATGAGGGTGCAGAGACAAGGCATCAATTAAAGGGTTTACAATGAAGTTTTGTTTAACTGGAATGCTTTAAGTGGAAGTTAATTCTGCATGAGCGATAACAGAGGTTTAATAACTAGCTAGTGACAATTTCTAAGCAAGAGCATCATGGCAGCTCACTAGCAAACAGTAATTCTATGTATTACAAACATACAAACAACTTGTTTTCAAAAGAGCTCTTGGCTACGGACAATATTGGAGAAACACAAAATGTAAT